AACTCAAAGGCGAGATTTGTATGTCCCATCATACTCTTTACCATTTCTACTAAGGTCATATTCCTTCTCTCAGCTACATCATTTTGTTCAAGAATATAAGGCATGGTGCACTGATGGATGATCTCATTTTCAATGCACAAATTTTTGAAAATATCAGATAAATATTCTCCCCCTCTATCAGTTCTAAGAACTTTAATTTTCAGGTTGGTTTGATTCTCTACTTGGGCCTTATAGTATTTGAATTTTTCTAGAGCTTCTGATTTTGCATGAAAAAGGTATACATGGTCATATCGCGAGTGATCATCTATAAAAGAGATAAAATATATTTTTCCACTTTTGGTGGTCACATTCATAGGTCCACATATGTCACTATGAATGATTTTCAATATGTTAGTAGCTCTTTTTGCCTTGGTGGTATTTTTCCTTATTAATTTTTTTTGCACACAAGACTTGCACACTTTCGATAAAATCTCCCTTATAATTTTGAAGAATCTCATCCCTTTTTAATCTTTCCATTCGTTTGATATTAATTTGTCCTAACCTCATATGCCATAAGGTTGCATCCAATTCATTAGGGGATGAGACATAAACAACATTATCTTTTATTTCAATAGTAAATAACCCATCTACAAGTCGGCCAGTCAATACCACATCTTTCCCTTTTTTGACCACCACTTACTCCCCAATGAAAGTGGTTATAAATCTAGCCATAGACATCTTAGGAATCGAAACCAAGCACTTCCTCATATCAGGAGTATAAAATCCTTGCTTTAGGATCAAGGTGCTCTCAGTCTTCAGTTTCAGCTCAAAATCTCAAACTCCAAGTACATTAATTTTCTGATTTCCTCCCATGTAAATATACTGTTGTCCTGGCCCCATAGGGGTGACAGAACGGAAACCATCATTGGTGTTTGTGACATGGGTTGTAGCCCCCAAGTCAAGACACCAAGAAGCTCCCTTGGGTCAGCCAGTATAGACTAAAAAATCACACATGCCAATTCTTTGTTGGTCCCTCCAGATTTGTTGAACTGACAACTATTGGCTATGTGGCTCACCTTCTTGCAAATAAAGCAAGTTCCAGTCTCTTTCATTGCTTTTTTATTACTAAAATCTCTCGTTTTGAAATCTCTTTTCTTTCCAAAATTATTTTTTTCCTTTCCCTTCTTAAATTTAAAAAAAGGTGGAGATTTTACCATATGCACGGCTTCCCTTGGAGTTGTTGTCAGTAGTTGCTTTGAATTTTTCCTCTAATCTTCTGCTTTGATTGTAGTGATGAGCTCCTCCAGTTTTGGTGCTTTCCTTATGGCTGAGATGGAAGATATGAAAGTCTCTCATGAACTAAGAAGTGAATTCATACGATGAATCGCTTGCATAGATTCATTGGGTTTCATGCCCGTGTCTTCTAGCCCTCTAACTAGCCCACGAAATACGTACACATACCTTCTGTCATCTTTAACTCATTATACCTCCTTATAGTCATGGTTTGCTTCATAAGAGAGAGTTCAACATATTCTGTCTCAAGTTTATTATAAATCTCACTTGCAGTATAGATTGACTCATACTCAGAAGCATATGAGTTAGTCATGGCAAATAAAAGAATATGTTTGCATCTCAGATTCATCATCTTCCAATTGGCGTACTCATCTTTAATGACTTGAGATAAGTCGTCAATTGGACGACGAGGCCGGTCCTCAAAGAGTACCTCATGCAAGATTTCCTTATAGAGCACAAATTTGATTTTTCTTTTCCATGAAGCAAAGTTGGTCCCATCAAACCTTTTGGTTTTCAAGATCTCTGAAATGAAGGTACGAGCAACCATATATTTCTATTCTCAAGTAAAAATAAGAAAATACTCCTAATGGCAATCAAGTAAAACTAGTTTTTATACCAATGGAAAAAAAACCAATGTGGTCTTTTGCAGGGGAAATACAATTTTCTTATTATTATTATTATTAATAATCACACCTTATGTTTTGGCAACAAGATCACTCACAGATGGTCTTATTACAACCAATAGATATTCCAAAATAAAATTGCATAACAATAAAACTCAACTGCTTGTTGCCATTCATACAACCTAATATTATGCTTGAAAATATAAAATAAAAGAACAAGTAAATAAAAGAAAAGATGTTGGAGATTACCTCAATCGGGCTTTTTACACCCCACACCGAGTCACCACATCCAATGGCGCGGGATATGCGGTCTAGCTTCAATCTCGAACCGAAAAAGCTGATTTTGGCCAAACTAAATAACCACCCGTAAAATCTCTACCAAACCCTAACCCCCAAAAATAACTCTAGGCTTCCCTCTGATTTCTTACTCTAGTATCTTCTTAGGTCTAGAGAGGAGAGAGAGAACTACCTAGGGTTGGGCATGCCCCTTTGAGAGTTTTGAGAGAGAAGGTTAGAGAGAGAAATATAGAGGAGAGAGAGAGGTTGTGTAGAGATAATAAATAAAATCCCCTTTTATGTTGCTAAAGTTAGGTTTAGGGTTTTTTAGGGTTTTCCCATAGTTTGCCTCTTTCATGAGATTGAATCTAAACCATTGATCAATGTGACTTGTGGGGTAAGAGGTTTGAGTCATCCATTCCATAGATGGGTCATCAACATTATGGAATATGCTTTGACCATTATCCCCCTTTCTTTAAACCATTTTTTCATCAATATATTTAAATAAAATAAATATCATGCGTTCCATAAATTGTACGATCCATCTCACAGATTCCATAAGGATATGTCAAATATTATCAAGAAAAATAATAACTT